ACCGCCTCCACTTCATCTCCACAAACGGCTTCTCCTCTAGCCCCCGCACCGTCTCATGGGATGTACCTCCTCTTCAATATCTATATGCTCCCTCTTGGTGACATCATCCGCAGACATGGGAGTCATCATGTGGATGACACCCAACTCTACCTCTCTGCCTCCACCCTTAACTCCAGGACCTGCTGCTGTCATGACAGAATGTCTGTCAGACATCAAGTCCTGGATGAGAGATAACTTTCTTCAGATGAACGTCAAGAAAACGAGGCTCTCCCGATTGGATCCCGTCAGCGCCTACAGACCTCAGGCACTGACAGCATCACCATCCATGGTTGCACATTCCACCTTACAAAGCCTGTCCGGAACCTTGGGGTCTTGTTTGACCCTCAACTGTCCTTTCTACCCCACATCTGTGCCACGATTCGCTCTTCCCTCACCTCCGCAATATTTCCCGGCTCCGCCACTGTCTCACACCACAGGCCACCAAGACCCTAATACATGCTTTCATTACATCAAAACTTGACTATGCAAACTCATTGCTTGTTGGCCTCCCCAACTCCTCTCTCCACAGGCTGCAGATCATCCAGAACTCTGCTGCCCATGTCCTCTCCCGCACCAGGCTCCGTGACTCTTATCACCCCCATCCTCACCCAACCCCACTGGCTTTCCATCACACAGAGGATACAGTTCAAGATCTTGGTCCTCACCTTCACAGCCCTCCATGGTTTTGCTCCCCCCACCTCTTCAACCTCCTCACCCCTTACCATCCTGCCCATTCCCTTCACTCAGCGGGCTCCGGCCTGCTTCATGTCCCCCGCCTCGCTCGCCCCACTGTTGGAAGGCGTGTCTTCTGCCACTCTGTCCCCACCCTCTGGAATTCCATCCTGCAGTATCTCCAACTTTTCTCCTATCTTGCCTCTCTCAAGACAGATCTCAAGACTTTCCTCTTCGACCGTGCCTCGACCACCCTGCTTCCTCCCCTGCCCTCCACCCTTCCCAATCCCGGCCCCCCCCCAGCTCGGGTCCAAAACTGACTGTCCAACGCCTTGGGACATCCTCCCTAGGCGCTATACAAATGTAATTTTGTTGTTGTTGTAGTCTAGAGCAGAGGATATTGCTGAAGGAGGTTGCCGAAGTAGAGAGGGGCAACATTGAAAAAGGATTTGAAGATCGAGAGAAGGACCGTAAGGTTGGTCCACTGAAATGTTGGGAGCCAGTGGAGCCTGGCAAGGATATGGTTATGGGATTGCAGATAAAGGGAAGATATAAGTGGTTGCATTTTGCATGAGTTTTAGCTCCTGGAGGGTAGATAGAGAGTTTGCTGTCAGCACACTGTCTGAGGGTACAACAATATGCACTTAAATAGTACCTTTCACGTCGAATGAGTATCTCGAAGCGCGCAAAAAAATACTAACAATAGAACAATTACTGTCAAAAGACCATATAATGAAGTCTATTATATTCGTAATATTTTTAAAAATTGTTAACGTTTCTTTCAGACTCATTTCTGATGTTATTATTCTGGGAACGGGCTGGGAGAAATTGGTAGACGCAACATTGTGAGAGACTGATACAGCCATTAATCCACAGGACTTCCGCAATCTTGACATCTCAACTGTGAGCACGTTAATTCAACTCACCAGCCTCAGTATCTCCTGCCTGCCAGCTCCTTCTAAGGTGTCGCTGCATTCACTATCTGAACAAAAGTAGTCACCCCAAAAACCCCAATAGAATAGAGAAATACAAAACCAACCAACGCTTGCCAAGGTTACACATAACTCCTTCTTAGCAATTCCATTTCTCTTTTTCAAAGGAGAACTCAACAATGAGAATCATTTTTATTTCTTAAAGAAATTGCGCTTAACATAGAATCGCTTAAGAGTCAACACACAAAACCTACAGCGTGAGTAAAGGGATCGCCGGTTACAATAAAAGGGTTCAGGTTAACATTTTCAATGGATTAATGGGGGAAATGTGCGAAATGTGATGTGTTAATTATCACTGGTGATAACATACATTCCTGTCCACACACCCCCCGCCCCTAATTATCTTAAACACACTGATATCAAGTATTATTCGCAAGGGCAAGTCACATTTATATAGCGCCCTTCATGTAGAACGTTTTGGAATAATTTACAGCAGGAGTTAGGGGAGAGGGGGAAGGTGGAGGTGACTAAAGGTGCCGTCAAAAAGGTAGGTATAATTTCAGATGAGAGGGGGAGATGGAGAGGTGGGGGAACGAGTGGATTGATCCAGAAAGCCTGGCCACCGACGGTGAGGCAGATAGAACAGGGGACAACAACAACTTGCATTTACAAAGTGCCCTTCAAGCAGGGTGGTGTTCTGGAGCGCTTGAACACACAGTAAGCCCGAGTTAGCCGAGCATTGGCGGTGAGCAGAGGAGTGGGGTAGGATGAGATGGGAGAGATAGGAACGTGCTGTTTATCATTTCTAGTTGATAATGATTCCTTTAATGTTGGCCTAAGTGATGCTATATAATTTTTTTTGGTGCCATTAGTGTTTTAAAAGTAGCGCTGCATGTCACAGGACCTCACAAATTATGACTGTTGCGACGTGACTGTGATAAACATGTCACCGAATTAAATAATTGTCAAAGAGGGATACCAGGTTATTGCGGGTAGTGAGATACTGCTCAGAGAAAGATCATCAACTAACCTCAATCAACTCATCAGATCGCAAGAGACCAAAATAAAAAAACAGATGCAGGTCCAAAATTGCACCCAATCTTAGCCCATGACACCATTTTGTCTTAAAAGTTAGAATTGTTGCGTAGAATTGTGAAAAATTCTTAAATTCACTCTTAAATTGGAAGCATTACACCCTCACCCCCCCCCCCCCCCCCCCATCCCCTCGCCCTCAGAATTTGGGATTCAGACTGAATTTAAGAATGAGAAACTCTAGTCTGACCTTAAATTTTGGAACAAAAATGGTTTTGTGAAATTTCAAGTTAAAAGTGCTAGAAATGTACAGCAAGTTATAATAATAATAAAACTTTTATGATTTGTTATAGTGCCTTATCAAGTCATTGTGAAAGAGCTCCACCGGATTTTTCTTGGAAGTGTAGTGCCTATGTATTTTGTCGGTGAATACAACAGCTAACTTCCTTCCACACAGCAATGCCCCAACAAACAGACTTGAAGTGAAGGAACCGATTTTATCTGGGGGATTTGTTGGCTGGAATACGGGTGGAGAAACTCCCTTCTCTTTTTGAATAGCACCATGAGATTTTTAGTGTCCACCTGATTAGGCAGATGGGACCACAGCTCAACATCTCATCCGAAGAACATCATCTCTAACCATGCAACTCACACACCCAGCACTACACTGTAGTCTCACACAAGACTATGCAAGTTCAAAGTCCCCATGTAGGGCTTGAACCAACAATCTTCTATCTCAGAGGCGAGAGCACTACCTATTTAGCTAGACTAGCACCTGATTTTTTTAGCCTGATGTTCCAACATACCTAACGTTGAGCGCAATATTCTATTTCATTTCACTCCGAAAATAACAGATATCCCAAATGATACGTTTGTGCATCTTTTGGGGGAATTATTGACCAGATTCAAGTAACCCCAATGAAAATTTAATTGGGAGTAGTTCATTAATTTTGCCTCAATTATACTGATTTATACTAATGGAAATTGAAGTTGCTTCCAGCAGTAAAGCAATTAGGAGCAAGAAATAACATTTATATTTCCCTCTCCGAAATAGCACTCTCCAAGGGGAGATCTCTTAAAGCATATTTGCGGACCTCTTCAAACTGACATCTCAAACGGTTGCCTCTTTAGCCTAGTCATCATTCTTGATGGGCATCACTTGCGAAGCACTTCGAGGCTCTTCGACGTGTCAGTAACAATCCTTGCATTTGATATGGTACCTTCCCATGTCATTGAGTCGTCTCAAAGCTGTTCACAAGAAATTCACGTGTGTTTGAAGGTGAATGGGGCTACCAAAATGTGCCCAGCAATGTCCCACATACAGCAATGGAAGTGAATGATCATTTTTTTTTAATCTGGAGGAATCTTATTCAGGAATCTAGGAGAAACTCCGTTCTCTTCCAAGAGATCTCTAACATCAACGGACCTCAGACAGGACCTCAGTTTAATGTCTCACCTGAAAGATTGGACCTCTGACGATATAGCATACTCCAGCACTATGTTGCAGTGTCAGCTGAATAATAATAAACTTTGCATGTGATAGAGGGCCTATAACATCAAAACATCTTAAAGCAGTAGCCAATTTGTGCACAGCAATGCTCCACAAACAGTCGTGAAGGGAACAAGGGATTTCATTTGGGGGTGGAGGGGAGGGGGAGTTGGGAATTGTTGGCCAGCACACTGAGAGAAACTCCCTTCTACCAAATATTTCGGGGAAAAAAAAGGAGACATTTTGCACGGCGCTGGGGGAATATGTTCCATCTGAGGTGAAAGGATTTCAGGGGCCAAAAGAAACAAGAGAACTCCAGTCTGCATCTGACAAAGAAATACACTCTGATCATTATCTTATTGTTATCATCAAGGGTTTATGAGATTCCCTGTCCTCAACACTGATGCTTCTCATAGATGTGAAACTCCAGTCGCAAACAAGACCCGTAAATCATCAGGTGCTTTACAGCAACAACAACAACTTGCATTTATATAGTGCCCCTCACGGAGGGTAGCATCCCAGAGCGCTTGAACAGTAGCGGGAGGTAGGGAGGTGGTGGGGGGGGTAGGGAGGAGAGAGCGTAGGCACGGTCAAAGAGGAAGGTCGTCATGTGTGACCTGAAGATGGGGAAGGAAGGGACAAGGCGGAGGGGTAGTGTAGTGAGAGTCTTTCCAGAGTTTCGGGTCTTTACGTGATATCGTTTTCGTTCATAATAATAATAATAATAATAATCCTTGCATTTGATACAGCGCCTTAAGACGTCTTCGAGACGTCTCAAAGCACCTCACAGGATATACTGTCAAGTGTGGTGACTGTACATTTTGTGGGCATTTTAGGAGCGGAACCGCTGGGCACAAGAGGAAACAACTGTTTGGACGCGGCCAAGGCTTGCAACTTAAACGATAACTGCAAAAAATTCCGAACCACGTACGTCTCTCCCTGCACCACTCGGATATCAGCCTCGGAGATCTGCAACCGGAGAAAGTGCCACAAGGCTCTCCGACACTTTTTCGACCGGGTCCCCCCGAAGTACAGCTACGGGATGCTGTTCTGCTCCTGCAGGAACACAGCCTGCACCGAAAGGAGACGGCAGACGATTGTGCCTATTTGCTCGTATCAGGAGAAAGAGAAGCCGAACTGCTTGTCTCTGGCTGAATCCTGCCAGACAAATTACATCTGCAGGTAAGACAATAATTATAATAATAATAATCGTTGCATTGGATACAGCGCCTTCTCACGTCTTCAGACACTACACTTCACAGAATACACTGTAAAGTGAATTGACTGTGTATTTTGTGGGCGAAACGCGGCAGCCATTTGCGCACGGCAGCGTCCCACACAAACAGACCGGATTGAGTGACCAAATTATCATTATTACAAATAATAATAATGAGAATCCTTGCAATTGACACAGCGCCTTATCACGTCTTCGAGACGCCTCAAAGCGCTTCACAGAATATACTGTCATGATTTCTTTTTTAAAAAGGGGTTATTACCCCCATGGAGAGCGAACCACCAATCAGCTAACAACCGGGTTCCCACTCACTGTTAGGTAAACAGAGGCGTGTGGAGTAAGGGAACTTGCCTAAAATTTTGCCCAACCCGAGGATCAAACCTGGGTCCTCTCTCGGGCGAGACGAGTGGTCTAACTAATACTCTACAGGACTCCTCTAGCATTCGGTGTAGAGGTGATTAATGAGAGTGCAGAAAGAAAGTTTTTTTTTTGAACTGCTGGTATGACCTGAGATAGGGTTTCAAACCTCGCACCAGAGCATGGGAATAGCTGACAGCCAGAGCTAAATAACAAAAAGCTGTTTTTTGTTGAAAGTCTAGTGTCAAGGGGCTTGAAGCACGTGTGAAAGACTATGGGAACGGAAGGGAAGGCTGTGGTGCCAGAATCCGAGATGAAAAGAGTCAATTGTCGGAAATGTCGTACAAGGTCGGTCAGGCTTTGAAAGCAGAAGATGGGTTGTTTCAGGAAGTGGAGTCCTTCGGTCAGAATTGGAACAAATGAAATGGAGAAGCTAATGGGACAGGATTGAGCTTGAGGGTCTGGTGGTGGGTGGGGGGGGGGGAGGGGGAGGGTGGGCGAGGCAGGGAGGGAGAGGAAGGGTGGAGGGCAGAAGGGTAAGGGCGGAGTGAGATGAATTGGAAGAGGGGCCGGGGGGGAAATCAGTGCCAGAATAAATAAAGAAAATCGGACAGAGTTAAAATGCACAACCGCCCGTAGAAACAGGAGTAGGGTATTCAGCCCCTCGAGCCTGTTCCGCCATTCTATAAGATCATGGCTGATCTGTACCTCAACTCCAATTACACGCCCTTACCCCGTATCCCTCAATACCCTGACCTAACAAATAAATATCCACCTCAGTCTTGAAGATGTGAATGGATCAAACATCCACAGACTTCTGTGGGATAGATATCCAGATTTGCACCATCCTTTGGGTGAAAAACTACCTTCTGATTTCACTGCTAAATGGCCTGGCTCTAATTTTATGATTAATACCCCTGTAACACACACACACACACACAGAAATTGCATGAGAATCCAATGGGCTGGCCTGTTAGCTGCACACAGTTGGAGAAAGAACTGGAATGTACTTGGCTCCTGTCACATCGTTCCCCACCCTGAGTTGGCGTCCTTCAGTGAGATCAAAACGATTGGAAGAGGCAGGGAGAAAAACATTGAGTTTAGCAATCTCCACTTTACTATACTTCAGTTTCAGCACAGCACAGCATGGTGATTTGTTAGCAAATTTGTGGTCTCATTGAGGGGAGGTCACACCAATGGTTGGTGTGTGGATTGAAGCAGCTATTTTCAAGCATCAGGAAGCATTCTCTAAGGTTCGGGCTGCAGCTAATGACATTTCTCCCAAGTAAGCGGAAGGGCTCTCGTTAATCATAATAATCCTTGCGTTTGATATATAGCGCCTTATCACATCTTCGAGAAGTCTCAAAGCGCTTCACAGGATACACTGTAAAATAAATTGACTGTATATTTTGTGGGCGAAACGCAGCAGCCAATTGAGCACAGCATAATAATGACCCTATTGGCACAGGGTATTAATCCACGCACTGAGTAAACATTTTTATAAAGTGTTTATCTTAGTTCAGTCAAAGCAAGCATGAAGAGGTCACTTACTGTCAGATGCACCCTAATGAGCATGTAAGAAAACCACCTACAAGCAAGCGGTTTGTTTAGGAAGCATTGTGTTCCTTCTCTCTTGCTTTGAACCTGACCTGAAAGCCCTTGATGATGGTATCAGGCTGCAAACATGTCTTGTTTTCCAGCACTTCCCCATCCCTATCTGTTATCCCTATCCCTTAGGATCATAGGAACAGGAATAGAGCTTTTCCCCTGCCTTCTCCCTCCTCAATTTCTTTTATTGGATCAACTAAATTCATAAAGTTAATCAATGCTTTACCGCTGAGCGATAATAATAATTGTAATTCGTATATCTGGAACAGCGGGGTGGAGAGGTGGAAAGTCCCGAGGTTAGAGGCACAGGAGTTTAAAAGTAACAACTTAAGGGTTAACCATCACTAAAACTAGAACTTTGAAATGTTTCCATCAATTCTTTTGTGATTTTATCATTACCTTTATCTCACATTACCACCTTGAGCACAATTTACCTGCATTTAGGTGTTAAGAGATTTACTTCAGCTTCTATCAGCAAAGATAATCCTAATACCTTCGTGCCTGCACTTTCCTTTCTGAAACTTTAAAGGGCTGAAATCTCCACCAAGATTGTTTTATCTAAAAAATAAGGTTTGCAAAATCCTTAGGCTCTGTCTTGTTTTTAGAGTCTTTTCTTTAAGAACCAGCTTCCAAATGAAGACTGAATTTAAGGATTTTTCACAATTCTGCACAATCTTAAATTGTAGTCGATGACAAAATGGACTAATAATAATAATCCTTGTACTAACCATTGCATTTGATATTGTGCCTTATCACGCCCTTGAGATATCTCAAAGCATTTCACACAATTTGCTGTAAAGTACAATGATTGCATTTTGTAAGCAGACGCAGTAGTCAAATTGGCCACAGATAATGCCCCACAAATAGTAATTTTATCTGGAGGATTGTTGGCCAAGACACAGGGAGAACCTCTCTTCTCTTGCCGTGGGATCTTTCACGTCTACTTGACCGAACCTCATCTTAGCGTCACATCTGAAGGATGGTCTTACAGGCTAAGTAAGTAAGATGAGGTGAAATTTCAGGGCTTTAAATGTGCTCCTGTCTGCGCAAGTGGTCTCTGGAACTTTGTGCAGAGTGGTACTTTCGCTCGAGAGGCAAGACAGGATATAGAACAAACAAAAAGAACACCCCTACTGAAAACCATTGAATACAAGTTGGCCCCAATGCAAGCCTGTAACCCTCAGCTGGGAGGATTGGATCACAATTTCATGGCCACAGAAGAATTGCATTCTCAAGTCGTGCCCAGTTCAGACTGTATCTGACTTCACGGCAGCAAGCTTGAGGAAAAGATGGGCGAGTCGGCGGGTAGGACTGTACTCTTCCCCGTGTGTTACGGCCAAACCACCTCGCAGGAACGTGCTGGGAGAAGGGGCTGCGTTGCCAGAGGCGCCAAACGGATTTGTGGATTTCTGCTCGTTCAACATCGGGGTCTCAGAGATCTGTTGGAGCAGGAGAGTACAGACATTTCTGAGAGCACAACGATGGGCAATAAACGAACACGCTTTTCGCACTTCCAGTAATTAAAGCAGTTTCAAATTAATGATAGTTATTAAAGTCGATCACACTCAAGAGCAAGAGTAATGGAACATCATGGGCAAGCATTGTAATGCACAGCGACAGCTTTTCCTCTGGGTAAGAGGCTCTTTCATCTCATAACAACGACAACAACAATATAACACCTTTTAGTTGTGGTAACATGTCCCAGAGATGGTTTTGGACACCGGGGAGCGAGGGTGAGGGGGCAGAGGCGCACGTAGGCATAGTCAAAGATGTAGCTTTTCAGGTGCTTTTCAAAAGCAGGTGGAGAAAGGGATGGAGACAGAGGGATTTTGGAAGCGAGTTCTAGAGGCTGAGAGCACAGTGACTCGATCTTCGTGCTGTTCAATTTTATTTTGCTTGTTTTACAATCAGCCAAGATAAGGGATGAAGCTTTTTAAAGTTGCCTGGTGTGTGAAGTGTATGATTGATCCATTTTACTGTCTGGTAACTTCGAGTGTTTAGCAGATGAGGAGATCAATTTGCGAGATGTGAAGACGGATTTGTGCACCTCAGATTCTCGGTCAAAGAGCAGTCTGTTTCCCTGGGATTAGGACTGACTGCCCATCCAGTAAGTCAGGAAGAGCCAAGAAAGGAGAAGGTAAAACATTGCCTCTCCCATTACCCCTACAATAAAGATGCTGCATGTTATTTAAATTTTTTAAAGCCCTGTAGAATATTGGTTAGAGCACTTGAGAAACCTAGGTTCAATTCCCGGGCAGGACGAAACATTGGGCAAGTTTCCTTACTCCACACGCCTCTGTTTACCCAGTAAGTAAGAACCCGGTTGTTAGTCGATTGGCGGATCGCTTTTCTGGGGGGTAATAATCCCTTCAAATAAAAAAATAATAATAATTTTGTCACTTGATCCAAGACTGCTGTGCGCAATTGGCTGCCACATTTCGCCTACAAAATATACAGTCAATTCACTTCACAGTGTATTCTGTGAAGCGTTTCGAGACGTCTCAATGACGTGAAAAGACCCTAAATCAAATGCAAGGATTATGATTATTATTAATAAAATGATCTGTAATATCGGTTGAGCAGCAGAAATGCACAGTCTCAACACTTTACAGTGAATCTTGTGAAGGGCTTTGAGACTTTCTCGTTCTGTGCAAAATATCAAGGTTATTATTATTACTATGAACAAAAGAAACGGCCAACTTGAGTCTCAAAAAGAAAAACAATTTAGAGAGTCCCATTATTGCTGAATTATGCTTCCTCAATTGGCAGCTTTGTGAAGTTTAGTTGCAATATCAAATGCAAAGGTTAATATTTTACCTCTCTTGGATTATTCTGTCCTTCATGTGATGTGCTTTTGTAAAATCTGGTGTGTTAGAAGCTTCATGTGCCCTGTGTTGAGCAATGCTCAACCTCTGCTAAAGCAAATGCCGCGAGTAAAATCAAATTTTAGAATAAAGAGAGAGAGAGCATACAATTCTCTTAT